AGAGAGAGAGAGAGAGCAGACGAGAGAGAGAGAGAGAGAGAGAGAGAGAGAGAGAGAGAGAGAGAGAGAGAGAGAGAGAGAGAGAGAGAGAGAGAGCAGACGAGAGAGAGAGAGAGAGAGAGAGAGAGAGAGAGAGAGAGAGAGAGCAGACAGAGAGAGAGAGAGAGAGAGAGAGAGAGAGCAGACAGAGAGAGAGAGAGAGAGAGAGAGAGAGAGAGAGCAGACAGAGAGAGAGAGAGAGAGAGAGAGAGAGCAGACAGAGGAGAGAGAGAGAGAGAGAGCAGACGAGAGAGAGAGAGAGAGAGAGAGAGAGAGAGAGAGAGAGAGAGCAGACGAGAGAGAGAGAGAGAGAGAGAGAGAGAGACAGAGAGCAGACAGAGAGAGAGAGAGAGAGAGAGAGAGAGAGAGAGAGAGAGCAGACAAGAGAGAGAGAGAGAGAGAGAGAGAGAGAGAGAGAGAGAGAGAGAGAGAGAGCAGACAGAGAGAGAGAGAGAGAGAGAGAGAGCAGACAGAGGAGAGAGAGAGCACCTGTCCTGTCACACAGGAGTATAGCCCACACACTGCACCTCCGTGTGGGCTGTATGGTCTCGGGTCCAGGCCTCACACAGATGGAGGGAATGGCTCGATAAAGATTTGAGGTCAATATTAGGGTCACTAATCAAAAGGTGGACTCTTTGATGTGGCTTTGAGATATTAAACGATGCAGTGAGGAGGGGAACGTCTGAAGGGAACTGTGAAAAAACTGTATGTGTGTTCTGTTCTGAGTATTTCTTTTTTGAGTCATGGCACACAGTTTTGCGTCTGGGTCCTTAAATGGGTAAATGGTGTTTGTTTGATTTGGTTTTTGGGTCACAGGTTTGGCCAAGACACTCTGTAAAATATAAAATGAAATCCATGTTTGAATTTGTTAACAGCTTTTTTTCAAGGCACACCTGGGAATGCCTCAAAGCACACTAATGTTCCCCGGCACACTGCCTGAAAATCACTGCTCTCTGCAGGACGGGCCACTGGCAGTTTAACAACTCAGGTTTAGTTGTTGCACCTTTTTTTAAACTGTAAGATCTCTTCAGATGCCATATTTAACAGTTTTATTCTAAACAACCAATCATGAGCTGTTTGTGTGTGTGTGTGTGTGTGTGTGCATGTATGTGTGTGTGTGCGTGTGCATGTGTGCCCTGTCCCAGTCTTTATGAAAGGAGAGTTCTTGTTTAGACTCAGCACAGTCCTCCCTCGCTCAGGCTCATGACGTGCACTGAAGTGGACTGTTCACACCTTCCACTCATCGTATATTGTATCATTTGAAGTCATTTTTACTGTCTTAAAACCACAAAACTTTAATAACATTAATCAATAACATTTAATAACATTTATCAACAGTTTGTACTCGTCCAAAGTTCTGCGTTTAGAGCATCGTAATTATTCACCACAGTGAGTTTATAAGCACTTTACACAACTGTGGGAGCAGAGGGAGCAGAGAGTTTAGGTGCCCAGAGGAGACTGGCTGAAATTCAGGACAGTGTTTTTTTTTTTTTTTTTTTTACTCGCTGATGATACATAGACAATAATAGAAGATGAATTTTCAAACCTGTCACAAACATTTTTATTCAGCCGAATGAATGAAAATTAGCTGATTGTTAGAGCATGTTCAGGCCTAATTGTAGAATGTCAAAAAATAAACCAAATGGATAAATTGTAGCCAGCCACTTAGAAGTCGTCAGGGTCAGCTGACAGCTCAACCTGACGTCTCCATGAACACTTCTGACTGTTCATTCATTCATTTAATTATTTGTTTGAGCCAGGTACAACAAAATTCAAAAACAATAACAAAAATAGTGATATGTACATGAACATATTTGGGACCTGGTGCTCAAAAGGAGGAGGATGAAGTTTAAAAAACTTATAGAGTTCTACCTACAATCACGTGGTTGACTTTCTTTTCTTTTTTTTAATGCTTATCTGTCATTATGCAGAAATATACCCACATATATACAAAAACATATCCACACATACACACATACATACATATACATGTACACACATGTACACACACACACACATACATACATACATATACATGTACACACATGTACACACACACACACACACACACATACATACATACATACATACAGTCCCTGACAAAAGTCTTGTCGCTTATCCATTTTGTAGAAACAAAAGCTTATAACCTGACTTTAAATTAATCGATTGGTTTTAGAAATGTCTCATATGAAGCTAAAACCCTCCCAAATTATGCTCAATATACTAAAATAAATTTGCTTCACTGAAGAAAGATTGATCATTTAATGAACACAGAAAGGTCAGATTTTGGCAAGACAAGTCTTGTTGCCTTGTCATATGATGCACCCAATCCTAGATTACAGCCTCACCTGTGATCAGTTACTGATCAATCAGTTAGTGTTTGTGTATAAAAAGACCCCCAGCACACCAGACCTTCACATCAACTGCAACTTCACCTCTGACAACATGCCTAAGATCCACCCTGAGACCAAAGCCTTAATTATCAAGAGGCTGAAGACCAGATCCACTGCTGAGGTGGTGACACCTTCAATGTGTCTCAGCGTCAAGTACAAAGAACAAGAAAAAGATCTGAAATGACTGGAGATGTTTTTGACAAGCCCAGGTCTGGCAGACCCCGCAAGACAACTGCTCGGCAGGACCGTTTTTTGATTCGAAAATTCAAGACCAGCCCCTTTTCCACTGCAGCAGACTCCACCAGGCCTGGTCACCTCAAGTCCCTGTGTCAGCCACAACAGTTTGTAGAATTCTGTCTCGAAATGGCCTCCATGGTCGAATCAGTGCACAGAAACCAGCACTAAACAAAAGGCAATTAAAAAAACGTGTGGCATTTGCCAAGGCCCACAGCCTGCTAAAAGGATGGACACTGGAAAAGTGGCAGAAGGTGGATTTCTCAGATGAATCCTCGGTTGAATTACATCACAGCCACCGCAAATATTGCAGGAGACCTACTGGAGCCACATGGATCCAAGATTCACCCAGAAAACAGTTAAGTTTGGTGGTGGAAAAATCCTGGTCTGGGGTTACATCCAGTATGGGGGTGTGCGAGACATTTGCAGGGTGGAAGGCAATATCAATATCCTAAAATATCAAGAAGTATTGGCTTCCTCTTACATTCCCAACCATAAAAGGGGTCAAATTTTGCAGCAGGATGGTGCTCCATCGCATAATTCTATTTCTACATCAAAGTTTCTCAAGGTGAAGAAGATCAAGGTGCTCCAGGACTGGCCAGCCCAGTCACCAGACATGAACATCATTGAGCATGTCTGGGGTAGAATGAAAGAGGAAGCATGGAAGGCAAAACCAAAGAATCTTGATGAACTCTGGGAGGCATGTAAGACGCTTTCTTTGCTATTCCTGATGACTTCATCAACAAATTGTATGAATCATTGTCGAACCGCATGGATGCGTCCTTCAAGCTCATGGAAGTCATACAAGATATTAAATCTGGATCTCACAGCACCACTACTTAATTCACTGACGTTATGCAACATATTTTTGTATTTGAAGTAAATTATTTGTTCAATTTTCTGTAGGCGACAAGACTTTTGTCTTGCCAAAATCTGACCTTTCTGTGTTCATTAAATGATCAATCTTTCTTCAGTGAAGCAAATTTATTTTAGTATATTGAACATGATTTGGGAGGGTTTTAGCTTCATATGAGACATTTCTAAAACCAATCGATTAATTTAAAGTCAGGTTATAAGCTTTTGTTTCTACAAAATGGATAAGCGACAAGACTTTTGTCAGGGACTGTACATATGTACATACATATACATGTACATACATACATACATACATATACATGTACACACATGTACACACATACATACATACGTACATACATACATACATACATACATGTACACACATGTACACACATACATACATACATACATATACATGTACACACATGTACACACATACATACATACGTACATACATACATACATACATACATATACATGTACATACATACATACATATACATGTACATACATACATACATATACATGTACACACATACATACATACGTACATACATACGTACATACATATACATGTACATACATATACATGTACATACATACATACATGTACATACATACATACATACATACATACATACATACATACATACATACATACATATACATGTACACACATGTACATACATACATATTTGCATCATAGATATCCAATACATATACTCAGTATAAATGTTTATACACATTTGCATAACACACATATACATACATGCAGAAACATATTTTTGTTTATGGTTGTACAAACTAATAATAATGTTATCGTAGGCACAAAGTTTATCGTTTATGATCGTACAAAATAAACAATAATTAGAATGAAAAATGCCGGGATTTTGTTTTCTTTAATGATCATGTTTATCAGTTGATAATGTTTGTAAGGTGTTGGTAAGGTTATGGTAATGTTTATCAGAAAAGAACTACTCAGTATTTTGTTTGAGTATAATTTTTGGGACATTTAAGACCAGATTCAGGATTTGGGACAATAGCTTAGATTCAGGACTGTCCTGAAATAAGATCGTAAAATAAACTCACTCCTGACAATCCAACCACAGCCGCTAACAAAATATAGAACTTCTTTTGTCTGAGCTGAATAATAGTTTGGTGCTTTTATTGTTGATTCAAAATCCAACTGTTTGTTTTTGACACAAATGGAGCATTCGTCTTCCTGACTGGTTTATCCACCTGTCAATCACTCCCTCTGAAATCAGGGAGACAGGACACAGCTCCAGATCCACTTGTCTTTGCAAAGTTTTGTTAAAGCGTCTCCTTGTGCTCCTGTGTCAGTCCACACTAAGCTCGGATCTTACAGGGTGGTGTTTTAATGCTCCAAACAGGTCTTGCTGCTGTTGTGCCCTTGAGTCAGACACATCTCTGTCCTCACATATTAAAGCACGTCTCTGTTGTTTCTCTGTGTTGCAGAATCTTCTACGTGTCTCATGACTCTCAGGACCTGAAGATCTTCAGCTACATCGCTCGAGATGGACAGAGCAACGTGTTCCGCTGTAATGTCTTCAAGTCCAAGAAGAAGGTAGACCTGACACATAGGCCTGTGCTCATCACACATCATCAAGTGCCACACACTTACAGTAGTTCTGATGAAAATTAACCAGAATATTAGAATAAATATATATATCACCTGTTGATTCAAGTGCGGCTTATCTTAGCCGTGATGATGCCTGACATGAGCTTCCTTGTTGTGGAGAGACAGCTTATTGGTCAATAGTTGGATGGGACTGCACCCTTTGAGGGATCCTTCAGGATCAGGATTGTACGCCCTTGGGTGAACCATTCAGGGTGAGTCCCATCCTTTAGCAGCTGGTTCATTTGTTCATTTGGGAGTTTCTTCAGCCAGTATGCGTGGATCATGTCAGGGCCTGGTGCAGTCCAGTTTTTCATACCATAGACTCTTTCCTGGATGTCTACCACTGTGATGGTGACTGGATTCTGTTCAGCGAGGCTGCTGTGGAATTCTCTCTGTACATCGGTGTTATGTGATGCCTCCCTCTCCCATATGCTTTTCCAGTACCTTTCAGTCTCCAGCCTTGGCGGGTCTGCTCTGGTGTTGTGCCAACAGGCAGTTTATTAGTCTGGCGTTGTTATCTAGTGTGTACCTCTTTAGGCAGCTGGCCAAGGCTTGGAGCTTTTGTTTTGCTTTTTCGAGTGCTTCAGGTGTGGACATCTGGTTGTACCTCTTGGGTACTTGCTTTTTCATTGCACCTTTATGGGCTTCTGACAGATGATTCACTTTTCTCTGTGCCTCCTTGATTTTTGCCTCTAACCTCTGGGATCACTGCTGCTGAAGTGTAGATCAGCTTATTGTTTTCAGTGATGGTTGTGGTAGGGATCACTCTCAGTGCTGCATTCACATCTTTTAGGAGACTTTCAGATGGTACTTCACTCTGTAACTGGCATCAGGGTTTGTACCCAGTCTCCAGGTGGGGAGCTGGTGTTAACTCCCTTCTGACCTGGCGTCCTGGCTCCCTCTTGCCGTAGCATTTGTGTTGAACCTCGTCAATCTCTAGTGGTGATAGCAGTTTCTGTTTTTGGATGTTGGAACACTGAGCTACTAGTTGTTTGCCCGTTAGCTTTGACTGTGGGTATCATAATAGCCATTTCTCCCACATCCTGTTCATGTAACCCCACTGACTCAGGTTACTGTAGTAGTAGCATTCCAACAGAGCCTTGTTCTCACATCTCACCCTCTGTGTTCCAGTACGCAGTGCTGGAGAACAGAGAACACAGCCGAGCAGACAACAGCACAGGGACAAAGCACATCTCTTTCTGAGCTAGATGACCTTTAAATCTCTGTTATTCTCTTTAATACTGTTTTCTCCATACAGATGTCATGATGTCATATCTTTACCTGGAATATTCCACAGTATGGCATTACACATCTATGTATCGATTTATTTTCACTGAAAGTGTTTTTCTGGTGAAAAAAAAATCAATTGAAAACCATAAATCATGAGCAGGATCACAGCTCCACAGATCTGACCTGATCTGTAACTTAGCCCCGCACTGGAATGATGCCTTATATAGCTCTAAACTCTATAAACACTCTAAACTCTATAAACACTCTAAACTCTATAAACACTCTAAACTCTATAAACACTCTAAACTCTATAAACACTCTAAACTCTATAAACACACTCTAAACTCTATAAACACTCTAAACTCTATAAACACTCTAAACTCTATAAACACAACACTCTATAAACTCTATAAACACTCTAAACTCTCTAAACTCTATAAAACACTCTATAAACTCTATAAAACACTCTAAACTCTATAAACACTCTAAACTCTATAAAACACTCTAAACTCTAAAACTCTATAAACTCTATAAACACTCTAAACTCTATAAACACTCTAAACTCTATAAACACACTCTAAACTCTATAAACACTCTAAACTCTATAAACACTCTAAACTCTATAAACACTCTAAACTCTATAAACACACTCTAAACTCTATAAACACTCTAAACTCTATAAACACACTCTAAACTCTATAAAACACTCTAAACTCTATAAAACTCTAAACTCTAAAACACTATAAACTCTATAACACTCTAAACTCTAAACACTCTCTAAAACACTCTAAACTCTATAAACACTCTAAACTCTATAAACACTCTAAACTCTATAAACACTCTAAACTCTATAAACACACTCTAAACTCTATAAACACTAAACTCTATAAAACTCTATAAACACTCTAAACTCTATAAACTCTAAACTCTATAACACTAAACTCTAAACTCTAACTCTATAAAACACTCTAAACTCTATAAACACACTCTAAACTCTATAAACACACTCTACTCTAAACTCTATAAACACACTCTAAACTCTATAAACACTCTAAACTCTATAAAACTCTAAACTCTATAAACACTCTAAACTCTATAAACACTCTAAACTCTATAAACACACTCTAAACTCTATAAACACTCTAAACTCTATAAACACACTCTAAACTCTATAAACACTCTAAACTCTATAAACACACTCTAAACTCTATAAACACACTCTAAACTCTATAAACACACTCTAACTCTATAAACACTCTAAACTCTATAAACTCTAAAACTCTATAAACACACTCTAAACTCTATAAACTCAAACTCTAAACTCTATAACACTCTAAACTCTATAAACACTCTAAACTCTATAACACACTCTAAACTCTATAAACACACTCTAAACTCTATAAACACTCTAAACTCTATAAACACACTCTATAAACTCTATAAACACTCTAAACTCTATATAAACACTCTAAACTCTATAAACACACTCTAAACTCTATAAACACTCTAAACTCTTATAACACTCTAAACTCTAAACTCTATAAAACACTCTAAACTCTATAAACACTCTAAACTCTATAAACACTCTAAACTCTAAACTCTAAACTCTATAAACACACTCTAAACTCTATAAACACTCTAAACTCTATAACACTCTAAACTCTCTAAACACACTCTAAACTCTATAAACTCTAAACTCTATAAACACTCTAAACTCTATAAAAACTCTAAACTCTATAAACAAAACTCTATAAACTCTATAAACTCTAAACTCATAAACACTCTAAACTCTATAAACACACTCTAAACTCTATAAACACACTCTAAACTCTATAAACACACTCTAAACTCTATAAACACTCTAAACTCTATAAACACTCTAAACTCTATAAACACACTCTAAACTCTATAAACACACTCTAAACTCTATAAACACTCTAAACTCTATAAACACTCTAAACTCTATAAACACACTCTAAACTCTATAAACACACTCTAAACTCTATAAACACACTCTAAACTCTATAAACACTCTAAACTCTATAAACAGTCTAAACTCTATAAACACACTCTAAACTCTATAAACACTCTAAACTCTATAAACACTCTAAACTCTATAAACACTCTAAACTCTATAAACACACTCTAAACTCTATAAACACACTCTAAACTCTATAAACACTCTAAACTCTATAAACACACTCTAAACTCTATAAAACACACTCTAAACTCTATAAACACATCTCTAAACTCTATAAACACACTCTAAACTCTATAAACACTCTAAACTCTATAAACACTCTAAACTCTATAAACACACTCTAAACTCTATAAACACACTCTAAACTCTATAAACACTCTAAACTCTATAAACACACTCTAAACTCTATAAACACACTCTAAACTCTATAAACACTCTAAACTCTATAAACACACTCTAAACTCTATAAACACACTCTAAACTCTATAAACACTCTAAACTCTATAAACACTCTAAACTCTATAAACACTCTAAACTCTATAAACACACTCTAAACTCTAACTCTATAAAACTCTAAACTCTATAAACACTCTAAACTCTATAAACACTCTAAACTCTATAAACACACTCTAAACTCTATAAACACACTCTAAACTCTATAAACACTCTAAACTCTATAAACTCTATAAACACTCTATAAACTCTAAACTCTATAAACACTCTAAACTCTATAAAACACTCTAAACTCTATAAACAAACTCTAAACTCTATAAACACTCTAAACTCTAAACTCTATATAAACACTCTAAACTCTATAAACACTCTAAAACTCTCTAAACACTAAAACTCTATAACACTCTAAACTCTATAAAAACTCTAAACTCTATAAACACTCTAAACTCTATAAACACACTCTAAACTCTATAAACACTCTAAACTCTATAAACAGCTCTAAACTCTATAAACACTCTAAACTCTATAAACTCTAAACTCTATAAAACACTCTAAACTCTATAAACACTCTAAACTCTATAAACACTAAACTAAACTCTATAAACACACTCTAAACTCTATAAAACACTCTAAACTCTATAAACACTCTAAACTCTATAAAACTCTAAATATAAACTCACACTCTAAACTCTATAAACACACTCTAAACTCTATAAACACTCTAAACTCTATAAACACTCTAAACTCTATAAACACTCTAAACTCTATAAACACTCTAAACTCTATAAACACTCTAAACTCTATAAACACTCTAAACTCTATAAACACACTCTAAACTCTATAACACACTCTAAACTCTATAAACACTCTAAACTCTATAAACACACTCTAAACTCTATAAACTCTAAACTCTATAAACACTCTAAACTCTATAAAAAACTCTAAACTCTAAAAACTAAAACTCTAAACTCTATAAACACTCTAAACTCTATAAACACACTCTAAACTCTATAAAACACTCTAAACTCTATAAACACACTCTACTAAACTCTATAAACACTCTAAACTCTATAAACACACTCTAAACTCTATAAAACTCTATAAGCACTCTAAACTCTATAAACTAACACTCTAAACTCTATAAAACACTCTAAACTCTATAAACACACTCTAAACTCTATAAACACACTCTAAACTCTATAAAACACTCTATAAACTCTATAAACACACTCTAAACTCTATAACACACTCTAAACTCTATAAACTCACTCTAAACACTCTA